TATTTTAATAAATAGGACGCAAGAAAATGTGCTACTTTTTTCTTCTTAACACCCCAAATTTGGGGTGATATTTTTTAGGAGTTTTGGGAATACATTAGAAATGTAGAAGCAGGGGGTCTACCGAAAATAGTAAAACTTTGAAAGTGGTCCACGATAAAAAAAATAGTGTATTATTGAATCCAAATATACTTTACATAAAAACAAAAAGTTATAAAATTACATTGACAAGACGTAAATCTAACTCAATACTATATTAAGGTATCTTTAGCAACCGTGCTAGGTCACAGACCTGTCTTACAGCTGCTAAGCCCTCCCTATTTAATATATACCATATAGAAAAACAAAAACATAAAAACAATTTTACCGCAATCAAGAAATGAATAAAAGTAGAAAGAAATAAAATAATTAGCTATGTGCTATGTTCTAATCCGACAAATGGCTCAATACTATTATAGCTAAATATTTAGTTGTATGGTACAAGAGTAAGGCAGGAGAGATATTCTATAAATGTGACACAGACTTATATTAATATTCAGAGGTTATAGTAAACGTTTACAAGAACTTATTCTATATTCCACATAAAAAATAATTGAAACGTAAGTGAGTAGTGACTCAGTTAATATTTTATTTTCCTAAAAACAATAAAATGTAATATGCAAAATGTTCATTTAATATTGGAGATTTGTTAATCATAAACCTTTGTTACAAGCTTAGAAGTGTAAAATTAATTAATACGTTGTTTGGGAACCTCTGGTTTAGAGAGACAATTCGGACTTGAGAGACGTAAAAACGTAGTGATATTATAGAAATTCTAAAAATAGGACCTGTTAGGACAATCCTCGTCCCGCACATTTTATCTTCGATTCTCTATTTACATATAATTAAAATTTATATTTTCATAAACTCATTAAATTAGACACAAAAATGTTTTTATTACAGGTTCAGTAACGTCAAGTAACATGAGCTCGCCGGCAGGTCAGGATATGAGGCACTCAAACACCGTCCCACTAGATTACGAACAACCTCATACTAAGAGACAACGGATCGAAGGTTGGGCCACATAGCTAGGCTATGAGGCCTTCGGTCCATATCCGAGGCCCCTCCACCCGCACTGCTAAATCTGGCACAGACCCATTGTAGACCAAAACTTGGCTGCCCCTGTCGAGCTTCGGTACCGTCCTTCGTTTGATAACAATCACTCTCTTTTCTTCGGTGGTGGATCGGGAAACACATGGTCAGTGCTAAATTTCGATCAAAGTCTGAAAAGGAAAGGTGCATCTGAATTAACGGTGCTCTAAAGTTTGATGGCACGGTGATTTTGGCACAATGACGCTTCAAAACCTGAAAATAAAAAAGCTCTGCCGGAATTTGATTGGGTAGGAATATTTATCTAATAATGATTTTAATCGGTGTTGAATCAAAATAAATGTTCACTATCCCCTTCTATTATACGTAATTACTATTATTGCACATGCGAGTACACTAAAGAGTATTTAAGATTAAAATTAAGTACAATGTTACAAGTAAATGCAACCCTTCTGAACAACTTTATAATAAAGATACATACGTATGGATAGATTGCTAACTCCTTTGTAAATAGAAAACATTATATGTACAATCCGTGCCATTGTCTGTTTAGCTTAAAATTTAGTCAATTTAAATTAGTCATAGTAAATACAACACAATGTAAAACTGAAGTTCAAGTGAGCGAACTGTTATAAGCAGCCGGAGTGATGTAGTGCGTAAAGGAAAAGACTACAACAAAGTGTGCAAGTGCGTTTAAGACTATGAAAGGACTGTTGAATATTTTGTGTTAGTGTTTTAAAAAGTTTTTTGTGCCATTTTAAAAATATAGTTATAGTGCGACATCCGAACTTTGAATCTTTGTAAAATTAGATAAGTGTAGTTCATCACAGAAGATAATAAGTTATGTATTGGAAAATGTATCAATTGACATATTTATACATGAGAATCATAATAATATTTACATAATATGTATACACGTCCCGTTAGGAACGAATGTTATGTAATGTAAGTAGATAATGTTAGCTAGGGTTGAGTATATAAAGGTACCACACGAAGCTTTAAAATTCTTATGATAACACTCGCACTCTAAGCAGTCTCGTAAGTAAATAAACACGGTTTATATATAAAGAATTAGAGCCATTTGCATCCATTACCCTGATGTTTATAAAACTACTGCTATTGATCTCGATGAGACCACTATTTAGTTCCTTCCATTGCAGAAATAACTCGTTTCTTGCTGTCCATATTTTTAAATCAATTAAATTGAAATTAAAGAAAACGTGCGGGCGTTTCTCATTTTCAGACCAAAAATTAAAGTCAATTTTGAATACCATAAAATGTAAAACCGTACTTGTAAAGTACCTATGTTAGTATTTATGTATTTAGTGGCTGTAATTGGTTACTAGAGGGAAGTTATGGCTTGTTGTTAGAGCGTTTTTATTTTGTTAATGTGATCTGAAGCTATATTTTTCGCATTATAAATATGTTGTACCGTAACAGCGAACAATATTATTTGTAAAATATATTAAAGTTTTACACACATACATAAAAATATATCTTTATCACATCACAAATATGTAAAATTCGTATTTTGATACAGCACTATAAAATCACGTCCACCCTATTTTTAGAAGTTATTGTGTAATCAAAATGAATAAAAATGAAATAGTTAAAATATTATTGATGCAAAATTACATATGTATAAGTAATCATATTGTCATTTGTTGTTTCGCGGTCATTGTTTGCATCAATCATAATGTTGCTAGCGCTGTTAGAAAATCCTGTTGTTCCATGTACCTACAGAAATTCATCTCAGAATCTGCGATAGCATTTTATAACGAAAGTAATTATAAAAATAACCGTGCAGCCTTGAGATGATGTTTTGTATCCTGTTATCGTAATTCCCTTTATATCTTCTCACTGTAGATGCCTTACTCACAGTGCCTAATGTAACCATTTTATACCAAGTTTGTACTTTGATAGCATTTTTGCTTCAACCTTTTTCAAAACCAGATAATTATAGATACGTATATCGTATATATATTATTGTTACAGTCGCCACATCATGGTGTCATTATCATTACAAAAATGTTGTTGAAATGTGTAACTACTTCGTAATTTATTGTAATAATATATAAAACTGTTGTTAAGCGGAAAAATAAAATAAAAATTGTGATTGTAAATACTATATAAAAAAGGACACGTTCGAAAACCAATTTTTTTGACTTTCGTGAACTTCACATCACAATAACAAAATTTTAATGTGTATTTATTAAATTTGTACAGGGATGTAACCAGTTTCGATGTTCAAAAGTCTGAACGAGTAAAAATGTATTTTCGCATTGTAAAATAATATACACCAGTAGTTGTAAAAACGAAAAAATATTTTAATACCTGAGCATAATTGATTTTTCCCTCTAATTTGGGGAGATAAATGATTTGTGTACACCTTAAATGTTAGAATAAATGTTCATGTGATATAAACACAATACACTGTTGCAGTTCTTGTATTTTTAAAATACTAAAACTTTGTTGTTTGAAAAAATCGTTTCGTTCACCGTTCCTAATACAATTCATTTTAGTGTTGACTATCGTTAAAATTTGCTCAACCGTCATAACTTGGTAATTGATTTACCTTTTTATGTTAGTTGCACCGTTCTGTTTTTGAATAAAGAGTAGTTCTATACAGTGTAATTCTTAAAACCCGTAGATGATTTTTTCATAGCTGATATTCGTTATACTTTGTTACCTAAATACCTATCATCAATTTTGTTATTCTGATCAAATTGATAATTCATCTTTTATTAATTAATAAATCATATAATAAGAATAGTCAGATTAGTTTATTTATAGTATTTTCACAGGAGTATTTCAACACCGCTCGTCTTATAGATATTTTATATTAAATTTTCACATAAGAACAAACTGACAAAGAATGTCTATATTATATTGAGACGTTAGCTATTTTGTCGACTGCACATAAATATATTTAATATTTTCTTGTATAAAATAATTCATCAGTAAGCTGGTATTGGGAGCATAATTTCCGAGGTTGTGAGCTTTGCTATCGGGAATGATTTCACATATAATTAATTAATTACTACTTTATATAATATTCATTTAACGCACAACTGTGTTGTGTGTTGTTGTAAAAAGGGTTTGCTTGGTTTGTTTTTAGATGTACCTACATTTGTATATGTTTTACTTGTAATTATCTCGCTGTGTGCCAATAGCAAAGGGCTGTACCATCTTCTGTTTTACCTTAGTGAACAAGTAATTTGTTGCATTTAATAAAAATATAGTCTTAAGCGTTTAATATTAGAAATAAATACAGTTTTCGTAACGATAGATGTAACATTTTTTTATCTTTTTGCTATTGCTCCACAGCTCCTTGTCAACAACCCAAATAGATTTAAGAATATAAATACATATCCTTATTGAATACTCAAGTCGATTTCACATTTATTTGTTTCGTAGCATCAGTCGTGCAATACATAATGTAACAAATGCTTAGGTAGGTATTAGGTATATTACGTTTGAATTTACAAAAATGCAAAATCTGTTGTATTTTATCGATATTTTACTGATTGTAAAGAGGCGCCTGCGACTTTTCGAAGGTGCTTCATGAAATATATTATTTTTAGGAGTGAGGCCGGGTCAAATATTGCATTGTATAAGGTCTACGGCGACTGTATCTCTGTGTTGAGGCAGCCATTTCAGCCCTACGTGTAAATTGAGTAATGATCATGAACATCTCAGTGGCTGAATGATATTTTAATGTTAATGGACAGTGTTAGAAAATTGTTATAAATTATTTTGATGACTGTTCGAAGGATAATAAAGAGTTGGATGTCATTTTTGAACTTTATTTAATTACCTTATGTTACAACCAAATTTAAGTTCTTGAATATATTATTCAGAAATATTATTACATAATATAGTGCATCGTTACTAATTAAATACTATTAAACATATTATAACTCGTGAGTATTAGCGAAGTCTCCCAAAGCACCGGTTAAATTCGTCATCTGCTTGTTTCTATCGGCTGTTATAATTTCTTTGTTAAGTGTAATGCTCCGCCTCTGATGATCTCTTTCAAAAATTTCTTTTATCTCTCTATCAAAATCAGCGGAGACTGATTTTGAACCTGATTCAAATATATTATATTCGTTGTGAACGACGATACTCTCTTCAGAAACGTTAATAACTTGACCGTCTAACGATTCTCTAGACCCCGCACTAGTAAAAGCTAACCTACTGTCACTTAAACCAGATTCATTGTTAATAATTTTTGCATCATATTTCATATTTTTTATTAAATTAGTACCGGAGTGTACAACCTTCTTTCGTCTACACCGACACCGCCTTGAACAACCTCCCATCCACTCGCTTATAAGAGCTCCGGCCGCTATAAGAAAGCCAGCTCCTAAAAGAAGAAACATGCCTTGCGTATCTTCTAAAGTTAATCCTTTTTCTTCAGCGGAAGTTACCCTATGTGATTCCTTTACAACCTAAAATATTTTAAACCAATTTTATTATAAATGAAACGGACTAGTTCGAGTAGGATACGTGCCCTGAGGGTTGCCTGCCAGGTGTGGCAAATATTCTTCTTATGTAGCAAGCTATGTGAAAGCAAGGCATATTTTTAGCAAAGGAGTTTTATAGGCTATAATGAATGAATGAATTTAATTTATCCAACAATAGATTAATATGGTTAATGTTTTTTTGTTTTTTTTTTTTACTTTTTTTATAACTGAACGAAATACAGCTGCGTTAGGGATGCGGCACGAATGGTGCACATAGACCGGGAGAGGATCTAGTTCTTACAGAATATCAGCGTCACAAACATCGTAATGCAGCTGTTTTGTGAAACTATGTGGAGTGAGTGATGACAACTAGGTAACTTGTTACTGATTATGAGATATTTTATGTTTGTACTCGCGAGTTATGACACTTTGTGATATGTCATCTACTTACCATCAGGTGTGCTCGCTTCTCATCATTGTATAAACGTAAAAGTTGAAATTTTCAGCGTATAATTAAAAAAAACAACATCCGAATTCCAATAAACTGAAAATTTGTGTCAAGCGTTACGATTAACCCCTGATATGCCCGGTCATTTTATTTTTTTAAGCGCCAAGTGACCAGGTCCGTACGGGAGGTCGCCCGATACTGGCAGGCGCTAATATAAACAATGATATGTCTTTAATTTTGTATGCCATGCCAGCTATGTATAAAACTTATATGTATCGAACCGATAAATGAATTAATCTATTTAATTGTAAATATTAAATCAGTACCATTATGGCAAATCCTACCTACAATGGCTCTACCATTGTCTAATGTCCAGTAGTCGAGTGTGTTGTGTTGTGGGCTGATGACGAAGAAAATGAAGATATTATAAACAAATTTAATACCGGAGGCCTGCCAGTGGTAGTGCGTTGAATTTCCCAGCGGACTTCGTTTAAAATCTTATCAATAATTCCACTTTGCCATATTCTTCGGACATCTGCACTTAACTTTTCGTAATATACAGAATTTCGAGGAAAGCCTAAGGCTACACCAAATGGTACAAAACATTCGTTTGATATGTGTAGTACGGCACGTTTTGACCTACGAGATAGAATATTATAGATATAGAATATTTAATTAAATATTAATAAGGTTAAAAAAATTATATTTGGTATCGTTCTGTATTGTTATTTTTTAATTATTTCGCATTTACAAACGGAGCAATAGAGGGTTAAAAAAGCCATTCGCTGTGGTCACCATAACACATGCTGAGTGAGGTCCATTTTTGCATGCTTTGACGCACAAAGCCAAACTCATTGTAAAAAATAAATTAAATTATAAATTTGTGTGCGTATATATAAAAATATGTATAAATATAAATTTTATTCTTCTATGTGCGCATTATAAAAATGTTAAATTTTGCATACTTAGTCTGTGTAAAGTTCGCCTGAATAATATATTCGAGTTCAGCCCGAGACCCCAAAAACGCATAAGGCCAGAAAAATGCCTTTGTAATATTTCTTATACCTGTTTCTACGTTTGGTACAAATTCCAATTTTTTCAAAAGTTTATTTGTCTTTGGATCTGAAGAATTTAAAAACCATCTTTCCCAACCACCACGATCTGCCAAAAATGTATTATTTATTAGAAAGAAAAAAAAAACATAAATTTTGAAAACATTTGATTCAAAGGTTTTTACCTAGTGTTCCAACCCTGTAAAATCCTGAGAGTAGTTGACTAACGGTGTCAACAGTTTCAGGGAATATGGGTAATGTTACAAATGCTATGATCGAACCAGTATAGCAACTTGTTATTATAATTGTAAACAGCCAGTACCAACCTGTAAAAGAAAGTTAAAAAAAGAGTTTTAACGGTAATAATTATTAATTCTTTATTTTATCTCATTAATCTCCAAAACTACTTACCGATCAATATTCTCGTTGTTATCTTTGTAGTCTTACTCCATGAATTTTTCCCCACAAATGTAAAACAATTTGTAAAAGTACCAAAGACATACCAAAACATGTTTTCTATTTCACCGGAGTCATGTAATAAATGCTGTAGGGTATGTTTATCAGAAAAAGCTAAAGGAAAAATGCCGATTAAATAAGTAAAAGTCAGTGCCACCCAAACATGCCAATGAAATGGTCCTAAAATTGCTCGATACCTGGAACAAAAAATATATAAATAACCGTAATTTACAATGGTTTTCGTAAATATTATTATAGAAAAGTTTGAAGTCCTTTACTGTTAGCAACGACACATCTTTTTCATCATTAGGTGTAGTTTAAAAATATATATTAACAGTAACTCAAATTGCTAGAATAATTTTAAGAAACATATTTGTACTCCATATTGCATACCGTGGCAATCTTTAATTAAGAAGACACTTAGATATAAACTTTCCTATTATTTCTAGTATTTACATTGTGTTCGTGTATGTCTTGTTGGTTCATCATTATCACTACTGCCTTTCACAAGTCCACTGCTGAACATAGGCCTCCCCCTAGTAATGCCAGAAAGCACGGTCCTGAGCCACCTGTATCCATCGACTTCCTGCATGTCTTACCAGGGCGTATCTCTCTATCTAGTGGGGGATCGCCCTACACTTCGCCTACCGGTACGAGGCTGCCACTCGAGAACCTTTCTTCCCCATCGGTTATCAGTTCTTCGAGCTATATGGCCGGCCCATTGCCACTTCAGCTTACTAATCCATTGGGCTATGTCGGTCGCTCTGGTTTTACTGCGGATATCCTCATTTCTGGGTCTATCACGCAGAGAAACTCCGAGCATAGCCCTCTCCATAGCTCGCTGAGCGACCTTGAGAGTCCTCATACGGCCAGTAGTGAAGGACCACGTCTCAGATCCGTAAGTCATCACTGGTAACACGCACTGGTTGTACAATCTAGTTTTTAGAGATTGAGGTATACCTGACGAGAAGATATGTCGTAATTTCCCGAACGCTGCCCAGCCGAGTTGAATCCGTCGATTGAACTCTCGGTCGAAGTTGGACTTACCTAGTCAGAATATTTGTCCCAGGTAAACGTACTCGTCAACAACTTCGAGCATAGTGCTCCCAAAAACTACCAGCATAGGTGTGACATGGACATTAAACATGATCTTTGTTTTGTCCACGTTCATCTTAAGACCTATCCGTCGGGAGACGCCATTGGGGTCATTGACATATGCTTAGGTCCTCAGCGATTCTGCCATAAGGACTATATCATCAGCAAATCGAAGGTGGGTGATGTACTCGCCATTGATGTTAATACCGTATCCTTTCCAGTCCAGTAGCTTGAAAACGTCTCCAATGCAGCGGTGAAGAGTTTCGGGGATATAACTTCATCCTGTCTTACACCTGTCTGTGGTTGGATAGGTTTTGAACTCTGGTTCTGTACTCGGATAGCCATTGTAGCCCTACTTTACAAACAATTCAGCACTTCGATATACCGACAATCAACTTAGCACCGCTGGAGGGACTGTAGCACAGCCCAAATTTCGACAGAATCAAAGGCTTTCTCATAGTCCACATACGCCTGGCAAAGTGGCAGATTGTACTTTTCGGTCTTCTGTACAATCTGCCGCGGTGTATGTATGCGGTCTATGGTACTGAAGCCTTTTTGGAAACCGGCTTCTTCGGGAAGCTGGAAGTCTGCGTGCGAGACGATTGACTCTCGAAAACAGCACGTAGACGTAAACATGCTCAAAAGGGAAGTCGGTCTGTAGTTCTTCAAGAGAGCGTTGTCGCCTTTCTTAAAGAACAAGACCACCGCACTTCTGCTCCACGCATCCGGAGTAGTGCCACCATGGAGGACGGAATCGAAGAGCTTCTGAAGGACTTTAAGTACCGGTGTTCCACCCGCTTTCACAAGCTCCGCTGTAATTCCACCCTCGCCTGGGGCCCTGCCGTTTTTAAGGTGCTGGAGAGCCATTCTAATCTCGCTCAGACTGACGTCCGAGATATCATCGGAATAGTGTCGGATAAGACTTGCTCTAGGATCGTTACTCACACTTGCGTGTTAGCTCCAACGATGATGTGTGTAGCTGCCCATAGAACCTCTCAATCTCACTCAAAATCTCATTTGTCCCGGAAACGATGCTGCCACAATCAGTCTTAAGCTTTGACAGTCGGCTCTTTCTGGCAGACAGATCTCTGGCAAAGACTTTGGAGCCCTGGTTCCGCTCGATCGCTTCTTTAATACGAGTAGTATTAAAGTTGCGTAAGTCTAGCCGCATGCATTTGGAGATCTGTCTGTTTAGTTTCCTGTATGCTGTCAAACCTGTTGACGATTGCAGCCTCATCTCCCGTCTAACAGCCATGAGATTAAGAGTGTGATCGGAGAGTTTTTGTGTTCTTCTGCGGCGGGTCTTGCAGAACTTAGCTCCGACCGCATGGACAGTTTCCACGAGCTTGTCATTCATATCGTCCATTGCATTGCAATGGCACTGAAAGCGGTTACCTAATTTGAGCTGAAAGAATTCGGGATTTTGGATTAGAGCACGAGGGAGACGGAGCGTTGACTTCATTAGACGAGACCTCTCCAACTTAACGTTTAGGTTCAGTGTGCCTCTAAACATTCGGTGATCGCTGCCAGTTTTCACCCTTGCGATCACTGAGACATCACTGAACAGTTTGCGTCTGGTCGTCATAATGATGTCAATCTCATTTTTTGTCGAACCGTCGGGGCTCGATCAGGTCCACTTCCTGTGGGGCCGCTTCTGGAAGAAAGAGTTCATTATATAAAGTCCCTCTTTCTCCATGAAGTCGGCCAGCTACTGGCCCCTTGGGTTCCGTTGCCCTATCCCAAATTTTAGCTCACCGTTCTTTCTTGTGCCCAGTTGTGCGTTGAAGTCTCCCATTAAACCGTATAGTGAGTTTTGGAGGAATGCATGGCTCTAGAAATATCCTCATACATTTCCTCCACCTCCTCATCGGGATGTTCCGAAGTTGGCGCGTAAACCTGTATGACCTTCAGCGAATACCGTTTGGTGATTCTGCGTATAAGGTACGCAACCTTCGTCGATACACTCCCAATTTTTAAAACGTTGTTAACGAGAGACTTGTGGACGATAAATCCAAAACCTCTTTGTGACAGATGGTCCCGGTGACAGAACAAGTTGCCGGATTCGAGAATCACCGTGTCCTCCACCTCTCTCTTCGGACCTGTCACGGATAATCAAATCGCCCTATAATATGGTATGGATAAAAGCTAATAAATTAAAAAAGATATGTACCTTGGCAAAGCTGTAGACATCAGAGTTATAAAGATGGCACAGTCTTGAGAATGTGGAAAAGTCATATCTAATTCATGAATCCTTTCACTTGTAATGTACATTCCCGCTGCTGCAATATCTGCTTTACCCCTAATTACTTCTTTAGCAACTGCATCTCCTGAACTGAAATATTTATAATGGGTAACATATTACCCATTATAAAACATACATTTAGATATTTCTTTTTTATAGAATTAATTTCAAACTGTTAGTAGAAATTTTTTATTATCTCTTACCCTAAATGTAACTCACGAGGTTCTACAATTGCTAAAGAGAAATTGTTTCTCTCAGCTAGCAAATTAAGTAGTCTGATCTCGATTCCATCCCAAACAACTTTCGGATTACCACCATCGCTATCTGTCGTTACCCTGCGCATTTTAAAACCAATGTTAGTAATGAATTATTACTCAGATCTACCATCAAATTACTATTTTACCTCCTAAATGTATACGGTGGCTGATTTGCCGCTGATACAATAAATCGATGACCGGCATAACCTTCAGTCATTTTGGGAGGAAATAAATTCAACTCTCTAGAAAATTTGCCATGAGACCAAGAATTTAAGACGACAGATTTACTTGCACCTAATCCATCTATATATAGTTTGTGTGTATATAATATGTAAGGCGCTTCCTGTAAATGTATTTATAAACGCATACTTATTAAAAAGATATTTAAATTATAAACAACAAAATATAATTTATCTCATGTCATACCACATTGCTATCTTCTTCTTTAAAACTTTGTCCAATTACAAGTAAATTAACAAACATCCTAGACATAGGACCTGCAAGAAACTCTTGCACAGCCCACTGTGATGATTGTGTTACAACTACAACTTTATTTTCAGTTTTTTTACCTAAAACTTTAGCAATTTTCTTCACATCATTTAAAAACACCATGAAGTGAACACAATCTCTGTTAAATTGAAGGAGTTTTGGTTCTGTTAATTGATCATTATCGTCAATATATCCATGAATATAAGTAGCTGGAAAATCTCTCAACAAATTTTGAACTAAATAGCTTTCTTTTGAATGAACTTTCCTGTCGTAAAGTATGACGGGAGTGCAGTCGTTCAAATATGTATGTGTAATATTATGAAGAAGCTTAATAAGTGAAAAAGTTGGATCAAACATTTTGCCTTTATCAAGAAAATTTCCGTGCCAAATTTCTTCCTTACTTTTAGGGTATTCATGAAATACGGAATCTGTTGCTCTTTTCCTCGAAGTTTTTTTATTTGTTGATTTCCAACCTTGAAACGATATATTATTGTTTCGAACATTTAACCAGTTTTCGTAACTTTTATACCTTGTTAAATATTTTTTGTGAAAAATATTGTAAGAATATAGTTTGTGATCACTTTTCAGTTGATTTATGTTTTGAAAAGATCGAGAAGAGTAGTATTCTACTTGTTGTAAACCGTAAACTAAATAAAGAGATTGATATAAACTCATAATGTAGGAAAAATTTATCAAAATCATTTTTGATTGTATTATATGAAATATTATCATTAAACACTATAGACACACTATAGAAAGCAATCCTACATATTGTCTCAAATAAAACTTCATTGATTTGTCTTTATATAGTATTTTTGTAGACCTTGATGTATAAAATATTGACTATCAGGTGTTATGATTGAAATTTAATTTTTTATGACTTCATCGCTATCGTCATGATACAAACTACGAGTTTTTGGAACAAAGGCAACTCCAGAACGTGAATAACAAATTATACTACATTTTGTATATTTAAACATATTTATAACTTGTGAGTAAGTTCAATGTAATGTTAAAAATCGTTATTTTAGTTTTCATGCAGAAGTCATGAAAGTATTACTTATGCATGAATAGAATACGTATAGACCGTAACGAGCTAGGTATCTTATAATCTGGATATTAAATCTTATAATATCCTTAAAGCCGTACAGTACGTATAGTTAGTTCAAAGATCTGATCGTGTTTGTAATCGTCCAGAAAATTTTCTTCAATCTTGTTGAGTTGCATTTTTTGAGTTTTTGCGGACAATTTTTGAGTCCTTATTCCTTCCTTCACGACTAAATGACATGACAACGACGTACAATAATACAATTTACATTTCCTTTTGTTCTTGGCCTTTTACGAACAATCACCAAATAATGTTCTACATCGTTTTCGTAAGCATATAAAAGAATTTTTTATTGCATACGCATTTATATGCGTTAGTTATTCTAGACCGATAAAGAAATGATCTCTTAAAGGCTGAAAATGCAGCAAGTATTTTCTACACTAACATACTAGTCATCTCCGATCGAATTTGCTATCCTATTTTTACTGCTTTGTTTTGTGATTTTACTTATCAAAAGTATCGGAATCGGATATGCGACATTCCATGTTAACTACTCCTAATTAGACTTTACGATCGTTAAAATTTATTTTAAAAACATATTACTTAGCGAGAAAAATATCCGAATCACAAAGTTCTAAGAGACAGGTCTGCTATTATCGCCCTGATTTGGATAATGAGGACTAATGGAGTAGATCTTTACATTTCATAGATATTTATTTACTGAAATGTTCAATTATTTAAAAAAATTCCTTTTAATTCGACTTTCTAATCAGGATCAGGAAGAATGGGTGATAGGAGCGGTTCTTATCCTAAATTAACCGCTGTTTTCTGTACAAGCATGCATGGCCTACCGACAACCGATGGGGAAGAAAGTTTCTCGAGTGACAGCTTCGTACCGGCAGGCAAAGTGTAGGGCGTCCCCCTACTAGATGGAGTGACGACCGGGTAAGACATGCCAATGTATGCCAGTCAATGGATGCAGGTGGCTCGAAATAGTGCTCTGTGGCATTCCTTCGGGGTGGCCTAACTTGTGAAGGGCTACTAATTATGATGATGGTGCATGGGCTTAGTAAATGTTTTTATTATTTTATGTGAATTACGCCTAACGTTATAAAATTAACGTGTTCAGAAGTATTACTTAACATCAAAGTTTTTAGAACTTAATTTGCTTATTTCCGCGTAATGAAATAAAATGTGTCCTGTCCGATATGAAAAACACCTTCTACCACCAATCTCAGCACTACCACACTAGGATCGACACACCACCCCCGATAATACGACACGTGTTTCGCCTCTATACGTGGCATCCTCAGGTGAAGTTGACTCTGCGGTGGCTGACCACTAAGAACTTAATATTTTTGTGTATTTTATTATATTGATTAAAACTACTTTTTAATTCCCGACGTTTCGGGTACTTTCTAGCACCCATGGTCACGAAGACAAATGTCTGACCCCGTCAAATACTTCAGCTTTTAATTAATCACAAAGAACTTATCGTGTCTTGAAATCTTGCATGCTTGGGTTTAGTTTTAATTTTATTAATTACAGGGCCCAAGCAGTTGGTAGCACTTAGCCTCCCTCTCTACTGAAATTATAATGGTTTTTAGTTTCAATAGCCTCACGTATCTATCAAATCAAAGATTTGTAGTCTATCAAATCTGATGTAGGGTTGGAGCCGTCTAGGATATGATTACAAGCTGCAGAATTCCAGTACGGTTGATGCTTCACATCAGCTATATGTTCTTTTACGCGCCGCGGGTTCTAATATATCTTTTTGTTTGCCCTATGTATGAGAGACCACATTCACAATCAAGCTTATACACTCCTGCATCTTGTAGAGGAATATGACACTTGACGGATGGTGAGGCCTTATCATACTTACACTACACTTACCAAGACTTCAAGAGACAGTAAGTTCCAGATTGGCACCGGTAGCCCCTTAACCAGTGCCACGTCCGGACAAGGGTGAGCACAACAGGGGACCCCCGGTGACAACGAGGCAAAAAAAGGAAAAAAAAAACACCGAAAAAAACCTGCGTAGATCGGACTATAAATAATAATTAAAAATCTAAAGGTATTCCGGGTTAACACTGAAATCGGGACGTCAGTCACCTCAGTCTACCGTGACCATGGGGTGCTGGAAAGCACTCGAAACGTCGTTAATTAAAAATCAAATAAATCAATCCCGATAAAATCCGTAAAAGTAGTTTTTATCAAATAATGGTGTTCGCGTAAATATACGAAATCATTATTTTTATTATGTTTAGGATTTTTACTCATTTTTTGTAACTTGCCACGTACGGTTTCTCTCATTTATTGTTTTAAATTTTAATTAATATAGTCTCAACCCACTTTCGTCATCTGCATGACTTTTATGAAAATAAAATTGTTTGACTGTCCAACAAAATTTAATTTATTTTTGGACTAGCTTTTCCACGCGATTTCATGGTGTAAAACTTAACACTCTCAGTGTTCTCTGTAGTCTCAGTGCACACGCTTGTGTGCAAAAATGATACACTGACGCTGAGAGCATTAAACAATGTAAACTTGCAGATCTATTTCATTATATTAATTTAAAAATAAATAATTTTTACGTACGAGGGCGGCACTGAAAATTTCGGGAATCAAGGAAGTGACACAACATTACTATTTAAAAATGTATTTATTGCTTTTCGAAGTATTATTCTCGAAATTTGACACATTTATCCATACAATGGAACCTATCATTGAAGCAACCATTCCATTCGGAAGTTGGGGTCTCCAAAATGGCCGTTTTGTAGGCGTCCACAACTTCTTCAGGTTATGAAAATCTCTGTCCACGCAATTTATTCTTTATTTTAGTGAAAGTATTGAAATTATTAGGGCTTAGGTCGGGACTGTACGGCGGATGGTCTAATAATTCTATGTTTTCTTGCTCTGAAAACTCTTTTGTCCTGTGTGCGGTGTGAGAACTCGCATTGTCGTGATGGAGGATGATGCAGCGGTTGCAGTTCTCTTTACGCAGTTCAGAAACGACCTTGTGGCAAACAAATGCCAGCATACCATTCTACATTAACCGTTCTTTGTCCCTCAAGAGGAATAGTCGTAATATGGCCGGTTTTGGAGACAAACGTTGCCACCATTTTTTTTGCAACACTCCGTGAATGAACAATTTATGTTGGCTTTAACTCATTTTCGAACACCCAAACTCGTGACTCGTTTTTTGTTTCGGGTTCGTACGCATATATTCAGGATTCGTCACCTGCTACAATGTTGTATAGTACAGCATTTGAGGATCCTGCGTGGAATCTTTCGAGAGTTCTGATGACCAAGTAACGCGAGCCGCTTTTTTGCTCTTCACAGAGCGAATGCGGTATCCATCGGGAAAACAACTTTTTTACACCTAATTGTTCATGCAAGATCATTTGTATTCAAGATCATTTATAATACAAATGATCTGATCTGAAAGTTGCCTGAATTTCGCGGTATGTCACATGTCGATCTTCCTCAATCAGCATCAACATTTTCATGGGTGACTGCCGTTTTTCGACGACCTTGACGGGGATCATCACTGAGCTTGACACGTCCACGTTGAAATTCAGAAAACTAATTGTGGTTTTGGATGGGGCTTCATCGCCAAATGCAGAAATCATCCGGTCAACACACTGTTTTTGTGTTAAACCACTTCGAAAGTCATAACAAATCATCGCTCTTGAATTTTATCGAGTCATTTCCATTTTCTCAACGACTAAACAAGTTTGACAAAACCTTGTGCCAAGACCGAGAATCTTTTTTTAAATAAATAAATGATATTCGATTTTTTAAAACCAAAGAGTTTTCAATTAAAAAGATTTTAATATGACAGGAACAGTGGAAATATTCCATTCTCGATACTTTTAGTGCAGCCTAGGTAATATAAATATTTCATCATCATCACCATTACAGCCCTTCACAAGTCCACTGCTGAACATCTGCCTCCCACAAAGAATGCCACAAAACACGGTCCTGAGCCATCTGCATCCACCGACTCCTGCATCTCTTACCACGTTGACACTCCATCTGATGGGGGGACGCCCGACACTTCACCTGCCGATACGAGGCTGCCACTCGAGAACCTTTCTTCTCCATCGGTTGACGGTTCTTAGAGCTTTATGGCCGGCCCATTGCCACTTTAAGTTATTAATCAGTTATCACTCTGATTTTATTGCGGATATCCTCATTCCTAAGTTTATTACGCAGAGAAACAACGAGTATAGCCCTCAACATAGCTCGCTGAGCCACTTTGAACTTCCTCAAACGGCCAACAGAGAAGGACCACGTCTCAGAGCCA